ACTTAATACTATTAACGAGTTAAGAAGATAATTAAAAATCTACTAGTAACTAAGGCGACGAAGATAGCTTCTTTCGTAAATATATTATACTATATTAAAAGATATAGTTACTAATTCGTTTCTAGATCGACGATAATATTTATAGCGTTAAGTCTAGCGATATAGTAGTTAATTCTATTATCTAGGCGAAATAGTACTAGAAGTAGTTCTTTTTCCCTAATAATAGCTTATTAATTTAGCTATATAGCCGTATTTCTTAGAAATCTATCGAATTTTACGATTAGAGAGATATTACTAATATATATATTAGGAATACTCTTATAGAATATATAGTAAGTATTATAAATAATCTATATTACGAAATATATCTTCGTATAGTTAAACTAGACTTATATTAAGAGTCGATATTCCTAGAGTATATTTTAATATCTATCTCTAATACGTCTATTTCTATAAATTTAGTATACCTTTTTAACGAAAAATATATAATTTATACTATTCGCGAAGTCGATTATTCTTTATCTAGTAATTAAGATATAAGTAGCGAAGCTTCTAATCGTTATTAGTCTACTATATTAATATTAACGTCTATTTAAATATATAGTACTAAGAAACGTTATACTTAATTCTCTAAAATATAGAAAGAAGATCTAGTAGAAGATATAAAAGAGATATATTTTAGCGAAAAGATAAGTAGTCTATATATAGTCGACGAGACTAGAGAGATAAATAATTATATAGCTATTAAGATTAAAGGTCTAGAAGATAGATTTAACTTTATATTATCGCTATAGACGAATATAGAAGATCGACGTTAAAAGGTATTAATTGCTATCTAGAAGATAATATAGTAGACTTTAGATCTATACTATAGGCCGAAAACTATTAAAGTTATTCGTAGAATCAATAAATCTAATATATATATAGAGTAATATTCTCTATTAACGTCGACTTAATAAAGTCGTTATTCTATAATATCTATATCTTTAGTAAGAATAGAAGTTATCGAGACTAGTCTAAAGTTAAAAGAATACGACTATATAGCTAATTAGCTACTACTAAGATATCGTTAGTATACTATCGATTCTTCTCTCGAGTTATTATTATAAATACGAAGTTCGCCTAGGCGTATATTGAAAATACGTTATTATACTAAAGAGGCTATATAATATATATCTATATCTCCCGAGCTAGTATATAACTCTAAGTATAGTTAGGTTATAATATAGTAACGATTTATACTAATCTTATCTTCTATAGATTTATTAATATAGTCTATATAAGGCTATATACTAACTTATTCGGTACTAGAACGTTTATCTTTTTATTATCTAGTATATAAATAGCCTACTACTTCTACTTATTCTATATATAATATTTATCTACTATCTATCTATATATAGTAATCGAGCCCTACTTCTAGTTTAGGCCTTTTAGGATATTCTTATTATAAAACGATAGCGTCGATAGAAGTACTACTACTAGAACTAGCTCCGACGGTATTATAGTAAGAAGATCGCGAAGTATTACTATTTTCTTATACTACTATAGTAGTAGATAATACTCTATAAATAGTCTATTTAGTAGATAAATCTTCTAATATAATATAATAAGTAGAGAAGCGTAAGCGAGGTTCTTCTACGCCTACTATATAAGGCGATTTACTATAATTTATTAGTTATTTTTAGGTTTTTTAATATACCTAGAGCGCTTTATAGAATATCCTAATAACGTATAGCTAAGAGTCGAGATCTAGTCTATACTCTAGTTTCTATAGATTATCTATAGAGAATACTATTATTATTAGATTATTTAATCTTATATTATCTTTAGTCTAGAATTAGATCTTAGTAAGTATTCTTCGATATATTATTAACGGAAAACTAAAGACTTAACTATATTATAGTTAGTATTTTAGACTACTAATAAAAATAATAAATTATCTCGTCTCCGCTTCTTATAAGATTTCGAGTACTCTTAAGGGACGAGATTCCTCTCGAGTACTAGAAGGGTTATTTTAGTAGAATTAGAAGATATCGTAGATATACTTTCTATAGTATCGGTAAATATTAAGAAGAATAAAGTAGATATATTCTAGTCTATAAGGTTCTATAGTCTTATATCTTTAGGTTAATTTAGTCTATTAATAAAGTATAGTTTCTTCTTACTCGAGATAGCTTTAGCTAACTTATTATAGCTATTCTCTATATAATTTATATAGAATAGGCCTACTATATTATCTATA